TTTTATTATTCTGACTCCAGGTGTGACCTTGGACCAGTCCCTTCCCCTCTCAGGGCTTCAGTTTTCTAGTCTGTAAAATGGAAAATTCTGTCTTCTCCCCTCCCACAGCTCCTAACTACACCCTTAAGAGAGAAGTGAATGGATTTTGACCAAAGGAGGAATTCCTTTGTTAAGGGTGGGAATAAATCCAGGATTTGGAGTCAGAGGACGAGTCGGTGGTTCAAATACAGCTCTGCCCCTTCCTACTTGAGAGACCTTGGGCAAGTCACTTAAATTGAGTCTCAGTTTCTTCCTCTGGAAAATGAGGGCATCCAATTAGATAGATGGGCTCCATTCTTTCCAGCTCACTCTCCTAGAACACCGGTATCCAAAATATCCATTTGTCACACGCCATCTGGTGGCCACTTCTGAGAATGCAACAAAATGAAAAGCTCCAGTTTCTCGTCTATGCTTTCCAAGCAAGCCCACCCACACAAATCTCTGTGCTTATGGTTCTCCAACCTACTTATCTGATCCTAAGCTCTCTACTGACCTCCAATCTCGCATCTCCAACTGCCTTTCAGACATCTTAAACTCAACAGGTCCAAAACTGAGCTCATCACCTTTCCCCCAAACCCTCTTCCTAACTTCCCTATTATTACAGAGGGCAACACCCTGCCCCCAGTCACCCAGGCTCCTCATCCTCAACTCCTCACCCTTGCCCCCTCCGCCATGTTGAATCAATGACCAAGACCTGTCATTTATACCTTCATAATATCGATCCTCTATATCCCATGCTTTCCTCTGACCCTGGGGCAGGGCCTCATCCCCTCACATCTGAAACACAGCCCTGACTGGCCTGCTGCCATGAGTCTTCTCCATCTCAATGGGGGGGGGGGCATCTCCGGTTATCCTGATCTATATCTCACGACTGGATCCAGATGACTCCGGAGGAGAGAGTGAGGCTGGTGACTCTGCACAGCCCTCCCTCACTTAAATCCAATTCACTTGCAAGTCAAGGCATCACCTTCCTGATGTCATGGTCCTCTTCAAGAACGAAGGAGAAACAACTTGTGACTAGCGGGAGCTGTTCCACTGGGCACCCAACTGGCCAGTTCCAGCTGGGCAACTCAGTTCCCTTCCCCTCCCCTTTTTCCTCTCCCTCTGTCCACATAGGGTATCATCCCCTTACCTGGGGGTGTTCTGCCCAACAGAATGTAAAGTTTGATGGCTGAAAGCTAGCAAGATATCCAGGGGGTTATAGGCTAGATTTCTTCCTTAAAGACCATGCCTTAAACCCAATTGACTCTGGCTTTCATTGATTGGTCAAGAGTAAGTCCCAGCCCAAGCCCCACTTTGTGGTCATAGTTTGGGCCCCGTTGGCTCAGAGTGAATGTAAATAGTAATTGTTTCTGTTTTGGCCAGAAGCCTTGAGGGTCATCCCCTCCCAGACTGATTTTTTTTTTTTAATTAGGTAAAAGGGGCCATTCCTTGGCTCATTTCTTACCCGAGCCTTAATCACCGAATGGGCAGTACCTCAGTCAAAGTGAGAACTGGGAAAGACCTTAGCTTAAAAAAGCAAAGATCTCCCACTGCATCCTGGGCCATCTCCAGTCATTCTGGTCTATATCTCACCACTGGACCCAGATGACTCTCAAGGTGAAACTGAGGCTGGTGACTTTGCATAGCCCTCCCTCACTTAAATCCAATTCACTCACAAGTCCTGGCATCACCTTCCTGATATCATGGTCCTCTTCGAGAATGAAGGACAAACCACCACCACCTCAAGGCCATTCGGCCACCCAAGTGGTCTTTCTGAAGCTCCTCTGACCATGTCACTCCTCCAGGACCAAAACATAAAATCCTCTGTTTGGCTTTTAAAGTCCTTTATACAAATTTTTTTTTTTTTTTTTTTGCTTTTTGGTGAGGCCGTCGGGGTTAAGTGACTTGCCCAGGGTCACACAGCTAGCAAGTGTCATGCGTCTGAGGCCAGATTTGAACTCAGGTCCTCCCGACTCCAAGCCTCTATGTACTGCACCACCTAGCTGCCCCTAAACTCCTTTATAATCTGGTCCCTTCCTACCTTTCTAGTCTTCTCATACATTACTTATGCCCTTGTACCCTATGGTGCAGTGACGTCAGCTTCCTTGCTGTTTCTTGAACATCCTGGCTTGCAGCATTTTCCCTGGTTGTCCCACATTCCTGGAACGCTCTCCCTCCTTCTGGCTCCCCTGGCTCCAAGTCTCTGCTAAGGGCTCACCTTGAACAGGAAGCCTATCCTAGCCCCTCTGTATTTGAGGCCCTACTCTCCATTGATTATTGCCTATTTATCCTGACTACAGCTTCTTTGGACGTGGCTGTTTGTACATAGTCTCCACTGGACTGTGGACACCCTGAGGGCAGGGACTGTCTCTGGCCTTTCTTAGTGTCCCCATCACTTAGCACACAGTAGGCCCTTAATGTTAGTGACTGACATATGCACCTAGACACAGACACTGGCCCATCAGATCTGGAAAGGACACTTGAAACCATCTAATCCACACAATTCTTTTATAGACGAGGAAAGTGAGCGTCAGAAAAGGCAGGTGAACTCCCCTCAAGGTCACAGAGCAAGTCAAGGGTAAGATAGGGCCTAGGACCCAAGCTTCCTGACTCACAGCCAAGGAACTTCTCATCCCACGTCCTGCTCTTTGAAACCCTGAAGACCATTTGTTTGGGGGACAAATGATCAGAATAGTCTGGAGCTGACAAAAAACACCAGGACTGACTGGGTCAGGGGATTAGAGTTCACACTCCCAGTTCTAAGGGCCCTCCCAGCCCTGCCATTCTCTGTTCTTTTTTTTTTTTTTTTTTAGTTTTCAACATTCGTTTCCACAAGATTGAGTTCCAAATTTTCTCCCCATCTCATCCCTCCCCCCACCCCAAAACAGTGTGCATTCTGAATACCCCTTCCCCTAATCTGCTCTCCCTTCTATCACCCCTCCTTCCCTTTCTGTTTTCCTGTAGGGCAAGATGGATTTCTATACCCCATTGCCTATATATCTTATTTCCCAGTTGCATGTAAAAACAATTAACATTTGTTTTTAAAGCTTTGAGTTCCATTCCCTGTTCTAAGAGCCCTCCCAGCCCTGCCATTCCCAGTTCTAAGGGCCCTCCTAGCCCTGACATTCCCAGTTCTAAAGGCCCTCCCAGCCCTGACATTCCAAGTTCTAAGGGCCCTCTCATCTCTCTGATATTTTTACGTGCTCAGGTTCCTTCTGTGGCCAACAGCCGATGTTTTACTACCCCCTCTCCATAACTCACCCCCACACCCACAGAAACAGAAACATCTTTCACTTTTAGCTTGGCCTCTCCCAGGCCTCCTCTTTATTGACATCAGTTGGACTCTTCTCCCACCTGCCAAGGTTCCCCAACCACATTCCCAAGTGCCCACTGAGGCCCAGGTGCCAACATTCCCTCCCCTTCCACACACAGAGGCTAGCTGGATGCTTGGGAGGGGGTTGGGACAAGGGGGTGTAAAATAAGAATCAAACCACCTTTCTTTAAGTCACTTCGAAGATTAACAGATGTGCCTGAGAGGTTTCTGAGCCTTCCCTAGCTGGATGGTACAGACCCACCTGAACTTTTCTGCGGGTAGGGACAGGACCAGACCTGGGATTTCACTAAGGTGCAGGGAGCGACTTGCTGGGGTCACAGACTGGCACGAGCTGGCTTTGAGGCCCGCCCTCCACCAAGATGAAGCGAAGCCGCGCCCAGACCACACACTGGGTGAGTGGCAGGAGCAAGCTGGGTTTTCAGCCCTGGCCTGACAATCAGCATCTCCAGCTCAACATTCATGGGATGTGGGAGGTTGGGAGTACAAGCATTTATGTACAGAACCCACTTTCCAGATGCAGAAACTGAAGCCTAGAGCAGAACACTGGCTCTTCAGAGGTTGCACAGAGCCAGAATTTCATCTTGGGCCTTCTGAAGCCCATGTCCAGTGGTTTCCAGCTACCCACGCTTGCCTTCCTGAGCCCACAAGAATCCTCCTGCCTCACCATTACCAGCCATCCAAACAACCTGTATGTCACACAACTGGTGCCATTTCCCTGTGTATGGGATGGAGCTTAGCCAAGACTACAAAGCCTGTCACAGAAACACAAAGACCCTGAGCAACCTCCTTCCTCTCTCCTGGTCCTGCTTCCTCCCAGGCAACAAGAAGGCTGCACAGAAGCACCTCAAAGGTCCCTTCCAACTCCAGCACCTCTACAGCCAGCGAATCCAACCCCCTTCCTTTACAGATGGGGAAACTGAGACTCAGGAGGTGAAGGGTTAAGTGTCAGGGCTCGGATCTAGGACTCCACACTGCCTCCTCTTACAGGATAGTGGAGAGAAATCCCTGCTCTGGTGCGGCTCTACAAACGCCTCGACCCAAGGCAGTGTAGACCAATGGAAGAGGCAAGGGTTTGGGTACCAGGCAGCCCTACCTCTAAAGCCCCGTCACCTTGATCCAAACCCTTCTGCTCTCTCTGGGCCTCAGTTTCCCTACCTGTAAAATGTGGGAGCTGGACCAGGGGGCGTCCAAAGTCCCAGCAGCTCTAAAGGACTGCTCAAGTGCAGATGGCCACGGACGTAACCAGCACTTCCTCGAGCCCTGCCACCAGCTGGAAGGTGTGGAGTCTGTAAGGGAGGGGTCACGGGTTGGGGAGGGGGTGTTCTTGTCTTTGGGTGGAGGTGCACTGTAGGCCCAGCCAGGGTTTGGTCTGGGGGATGTGTCATAAAGGCCTGGGGGGCTCGAGCTAGGGGCGCTGTGGGCCTAAGGAAAAAGGCCTACATGAGCTACTCCTGCATATACACTCTTCTGTCACTGGTAGAGATATCCCAGGTTTGTTGGGAGGAGGGGAGAACAGAGAAAGACCCCTCCTCCTCCCCCTCCCACCCCGGGCTAGCTGGGTTCCAGCATCATGGGCCCCACAAGCCCACCCACAGCAGGGAGGGGGTTCTCCCTCAGACATCCTAGTGGGCCCAGAAAGGAGTCAGAGGGGGGGGGGGTCGGGGGCGGGGGGGGGGGCGGCAGAAATGCCCCCTCCCCGGTGTCCAAGGGCAGCAGCCAGCAGTGCCCTGGGCAGAGTCCAGAGTCAGCGTGGTGGCAGGGCCCGCGTTCCCCCGGGGGGACGGCCACCCAGCAGCAGCAGGCGGCGGCGGCCGGCCTCATAATCCCCTTCATCCACGCTGACCAGCAGGCGAATGGGCTCCCGGCCCACGGCCTCTCGAAGAGCCTCGGTCAGGAAGACACCGCGCAGGGCCTGGAGCAGGGCCCCACTCAGGTAGTCCCCCCAAAAAGCATCCAGGTAAGACAGCTCGGAGAATTTGATGTCACACACCACAGAACCCAGGTCCCTGGACTTCAGCACGGCCATGGCCTGCCCGAACAGGTCCAGCTGGCGGGCCACTGACTGCGGCCGCCGGGACACCACACCCTGAGCCAGCGCCGCCCCGTGCTCGCAGTACTCGGCCCGTACTCGGAGGCGGATGTCTGCAGGGAACAAAGGGAGGGTCTCAGGTGAGGCCTGGGACGCAGCGCCTGGCCACCCAACGCCCGGTCATCCCCTCTTCTGCCTCAGCCTCAGCTGCTCAATCCCCTTCCTGGGGCACCAGCTTGGACCCTGCTCTCCAGGGTCTCCCTGGGATCCCTTGCCCCCTCCTGGCTCTCAATGGCCCGTGCTCTGATCCCACCACAGCCTCCAGTCTTTCTATCTCTCTTGGTTCTCCCACCTTCCCCAACCTCCCACTTTCCTTCTTCCATAACCTGGACCCAACAGTTAATCAATTCAGCCTCGGCCTTCTGTCTTCCAGGCTCCATCCATCTTGAACCTTGGGTGCCCCCCTGCCACCCGCCGCCTGTGGCCAGGCCCACCTCAAAATCATGCTCCTCATCTCAACTGGTGTCTTGTTTGGACCACCTCCACGTAGCCCCCCACGGAAATCCCTTTCTTCTCCCGGACTGATTCTCCATCATGTTTCCCCAGCAGCTCTCCTCTCTGGAGCCTACACCTCCATCCCTCTCAGCATATGGCCTATCCCCTTCTCTACAGGGAACCGCCGGGAGCGCCTCCGTCCTCCTCACCCCTCCTCCCTGTCCTCTCCCGCCTTGCTCCAGGCTCTTCCCCTGCCTACAGAGACTCTCTGGGCCTTGGGTCTCCCCCCATTCTTGACGGGCATGGCCCCGCTATCAGGCCTCTTCAGTCTCTCCCAATTTCCAAGCTTTCTTCCCGCTCCCTACAAACCCAGTTTTCCTCCGTTAAAACTAAACAAGCAAACCAAAACACCACTAGCTTCATTCTCCTTTCTCCATCTCCACCCCTGGTGGACTGGCTCAAGTCTACACTGTCTCCCCACCGCCCACCCCCTTCTATCTAAGATCTTGCCCACCAAGCCTCGGCCTCGGATCGCTCCCGCCACTGGCCGCCTTCACCCCGGCACGCGTACTGAACAAAGATGGAGGAAATGATGCGACCATTCTGCCTGGCCCACTCCCAATCTCCCCGGGCCCTCGCCACCGCTGGGTGATCCCGTCACACTCCCTAACAACGGTCTCCCACTCCGCCAGCCTTTCGTTTCCTCCTCGAACCTCCCGCGGCTCCTCCTCCCCCACTCTCCGCCAAGAACCTCGTCTCCTTTTTACAGAAGGAAGGGAGGCCGCTCGCTGTGCGCTCCCTTTCTCCCTTCTTCCCCAAGGGGAGCCTCCACTTCTCTCCCTGCCGTTCTCTGGCTCCGACCTCGCGGCTCCTCTGAACTCTTCTCTCCAACTGCCAAAGCCAGCGAGCTGCTCTCCATCCTTCCGTGGCTTCTGACACTGTAGCCCACTGTCTTCTCTTCAGGGTTTCGGGATACCCCTCGTTCTCTCTCCCAGCTCTCCTCCTGCCTCTCTGACCGCTCCCTCTCTGTCTCCTTTGCTGGATCCTCCTTCAGATCACGCCCTCTGTCCCCGAGTGGCCCCCAGCGCTCTGTCCCCTCCTCTCCTCTCCCTCGACACCTCCTCAGCTCCCCATGGAACCAATGATCATTTCCATACTGATGATTCTCTGGTGCTGACCTCTCTAGGAGCGCCAACAGCGTATCTCCCACTGTCCATTAGACACATGGAACCGCATGTCCCGTAGACACCTTAAACTCATTACGTCCAGAACTGACCTCATTATCTTTCCCCCTGCCAAGGACGGGGAAGCTGTGGCCCTCTAGGTCCTCAAGTGTGGCCCTCTGCCTGACTCCAAACTTCAGACTGGATTCAGAGGGATCTAGAGGGCCACATGGGGCCTCAAGGCCTCAGGTTCCCCATCCCTGCAGACCCTCCCCCGTCTCTTATCTATTGCTATAGAGAGCAACGCCCTTCTCACAGTCCTCCAGGTTCACACCCAGCAGTCGCCCTGGACTTCTCACCATATCTCACCCCCCTGCCCATATTCGATATGGTGCCAAGGCCTCTCAATTTCCCCTCTGTAACGTCTCTCGAATAGCCCCCTTCTCTCCTCTGACACTGCCTCCCCACCTTGGTGCAGACCGTCATCACTTCACGCCTGCACTACTGCAATGGGGGGCTGGGGGGGGGGGGGGGGGTCCTGCCTGCCTCTGGTCTCTCCCGCTCCAATCCATCCCTCCATTCTGCGAGTAAATGATTTTCCTAAAGCACAGGTTCAACCATGGCACCTGTGCCCCCAAAATAAACTGCAGCGGCTCCCTATTGCTCCAGGAACTAATACAAAACAGCGGTTGCCATTCAGAGCCCTTCATAACCTGCCTCGTCCTACCTCTCCAATGTTCTCACACCACACATTCTCCTTGATATGGATCCACCTGGGGGCTTTCTCTCGGGCTGTCCTCCATGTCCACAATGCCTCCTCTCCTGCGCCCTGGCTTCCTTCAGGCCCCAGCTAGAATCTCACATCTCTAGGAGGTCTCTCCCAACCCCTCTTAGCTCGGGTGCCTTTGCACAGCTGGCGACTCCCAGTTTCTCCTGACTACAGCTTCTTTGTATGTGGCTGTTTGCACGTTGCCTCCATTAGACTGTGGACACCCTGAGGGCAGGGACTGTCTCTGGCCTTTCTTGGTGTCCTCATCACTTAGCACACAGTAGGCCCTTAATAAATGTTAGTGACTGACACGTGCACATAGCTCATCAGATCTGGAAAGGACACTTGAAACCATCTAATCCACACAATTCTTTTATAGACGAGGAAAGTGAGGGTCAGAAAAGGCAGGTGAACTCCCCTCAAGGTCACAGAGCAAGTCAAGGGTAAGGTAGGGCCTAGGACCCAAGCTTCCTGACTCACAGCTAAGGAACTTCTCATCCCGTGTCCTGCTCTTTGAGACCCTGAAGACCATTTGTTTGGGGGACAAATGATCAGAACACTCTGGAGCTGACAAAAAACACCAGGACTGGGCCAGGGGATTAGAGAGTTCACGTTCCCAGTTCTAAGACACTGTTCTAAGGGCCCTCCCAGCCCTCATATTCCCAGTTCTAAACCCCCTCCTCCCAGCCCTGACATTCCCACTTCTAAGGCCCCTCCCAGCCCTGACATTCCCAGTTCTAAGGCCCCTCCCAGCCCTGACATTCCCTGTTCTAAGGGCCCTCCCTGTGACTGTGTGATAGGAGAAGGGACCATCTCTTCCTTCCCAGATTTCTCCTCTGGCACAGCGTCTTCCCAAGCTCCCATAATTATGGCATCTTGGAGCTCAGAGTGACCTCGACGCCCATCTATCTCACTGCCCCCACAGTTCTGCCTACAGTGCAGCCAATGGGGCCTCCCCAGGGTAGGCTGGAAGCTCTCCAGGGCCAGGGAGCTCACTCCCTCTCACTCCACTTCTGAACTCGTTAGGAAGTTGGTTATTTTTCCCCCCACATCTAGATGGGTCACTGCCTCTGCCTCATGAGGCCAAACAGAAAAGTGTAACCCCCTCCCACAGGACAGCCCTTCAGGTGCTTGCAGATAGCTCTCATGCCCCCCACCCCACCCCAGCTCCGAGCCAGATGTTCTCAGCTCCTTCAGACCTATGGCCTAGACTTGAGTCCCCGGGGCCCCTGGCTACCCTCCTCTGGTCTCCATCAATGACCTTCCTAAACCACCCAGGCCAACAGGACTGGCCAACCCTATCTGCTGTTCCTCCCAAACACCGGGCCCCAATTCAGGCGTCCTGAGCTCTCCAAGAAACCCCAGTGCTTGAGAAACATGGGAAGGAGTGAGCGCCGTGCTCAGCCTGGCCCGCCTCGGCCCACCGCCCTCACCGCAGGTCACTTTGTTTGCAGCGGGAGACGACACAGGATTTTTCGACCTCGAAGCTCCCTGGGGTCCCCGCCGCCGTCTCCCTCCGGCACTGGAGCGGCCCAGGCTTCTCCTCTGTCTCTTCCCAGGAGGTGAACCTGCTGGACGAAAGGCTTCAGCTGAAATTTAAATCCTACCCCAAACCTTTGCCTGATTCCAGGCCTGATGCTCTATCCACCGTGGTGCCCCCTCTGAACCCTGTACCCCGCCTCTAAATCCAAGACACTGCTACTCTGTTTACTGCTGCTAGCAGGAGCCGGGAGCTGTGCTGCCCACAACCTCGACTGCAGAGGAATGAAGCTATCACAGCGACTGTGTTAGAGCTGGCCTCCAAGCCCAGAAACACTCCTGGGGTCACTGAACTAGAGCTGGGCACGCAACCCCCTCCTTTTACAGAACAGAAATCGAGGCCCAGAGATGGTCAGGGACTTACCCAGGGTCACAAAGGCCGTAAGTATCTGAGGCAGGATTAGAACCCAGGTCTTTTACTCACTATGCCACACCACTACTGAAACTATAATATTTCAATATGTAAACCTTATTTATCACATTGCATCCCTTTGTTAAAGGCTGCAGAAACCCCATTACACAGATGCAGAAAGACAGACAGTTACACCCCACTCTGCTGGGCTTACCTGCCTCCCACCGGCGCCGCTGGGGAGTCGTGCTGGTCGAGCCCAAACAGCTACCCTCCGGCCTCTCCACGTCTGACCCAGAAGGACCACAGCCATAGCGCTCAGGGGACACTGAGGAAGGGAAAAGAAGACAGAGGCACTGGGCACTGCAGCCCAGACGCCACGGCTCCCCCAGCCATCCAATCCCAGGGCCTGCCTGGGCCTCTTCCCAGCACACAGCCGTCTTTCAAGAAGGAGCTGAGCTTCCCCGTTGTCAGAACGATACCTGTCCTCTGCCCATCCGCTGCCCAACTGATGCCCGCCCCCCATTTCCAGGCCAGGCAGAGGGACAGGATTCTGGGAGAGCAGGTATTGTCCTAGGAACAGACAGAGACTGCGGTGTACCCCCTAGGAAATGGGGAAGATGGTCAATGGTCTGGGGGTAATCGTGGAGGAAGAGAATAGGCAGGGCTCTAGAAACATGGTTCTTGGCCTTGGTTATAGGATGAAGAACATGACACAGTCAGAGGCCCTGGGTCTAGACCCTGGCACTGCCCTTAACTTGCTGCGTCACCTCTGCGGGCCTCAGTCTCCTCATCTGTAAAATGAGGAGATTCACCTCGATGAGCTCTCAGACTCTTTAACCCCAAGTCCTAGAATCCCAAGCTGGCCCACACCCTCTCTAAGAGATGTCTGATCTATGGGCTCTCCCCAGGTGGTGCCTATGCATCTCTCCTCCAAAAGGCAGAACACCAGGGGCAGCTAGGTGGTGCAATGGATAGAGCACTGGCCCTGGATTCAGGAGGACCTGAGTTCAAATCCAGCCTCAGACACATAACACTTACTAGCTGTGTGACCCTGCGCAAGTCCCTTAACCTCAACCTGGCCAAAAAACAAACACAAAAAACCAAAAGGCAGAACACCCCCTCCATTGCCAAGACTTGCTGTTCCTCTCCAAGTATCTGTTTATCCCCTTCTCCCTTCCTATCTCTTTCTTCTGCTCCTGCCAGACCAACAGCTCATCTCTCAGGACCCATCCATCACCCTCTCCACACAAAGTGCTCAACTCCTAATTGCAGGCCACTATCTGCCCTCTGGAGACCATCTGTCCCTTTCTCAGTCAGCAGCTAGCTTCCTGTGGGACACTGGTCATGCCCACCCCCTTCCCCTGAAGATACCCAACCAAACCCTATCTATGCCTTTATCATAGAGGAGGCCCCATTAGTCCCTGCTCCCATCTCTCCTCTGGGTCCTAACGATCCCTTCCCCTAGAGGGGCCCCAGCAGTCACTCATCTGTTTTCTTGTCAGAGCCCTAATCATCCTTTCCCCTAGAGGGGCCCCACCACACCCTATCCCCCTCTCTCAGAGGGGTTCCACCAGGGCCTGTTCCTTTCCCCCAGAGGGACCCCACCAGGCCCTCATCCCCTCTCCCAGAAGGACTTCACCAGGTCCTGTTCCCCTCTCTCAGAGGGTCCCCACCAGGCCCTGATTCCCTTTCTCAGAGAGACCCCACCAGGCTCTGTTCCCCTCCCCCAAAGGGACCCTACCAGGCCCTGTTCCCTTCTCTCAGAGGGACCCCACCAGGCCCCGTTCCCCTCCCCCAAAGGGGCCCCAGCAGGCCCTGTTCCCCTCCCCCAGAGGGACTCCCCCAGGCCCTGTTCCCTTTCCCCAGAGGGGCCCCACCAGGCCCTGTTTCCCTCCCCCAGAGGGGCCCCAGCAGGCCCTGTTCCCCTCCCCCAGAGGGACCCCACCAGGCCCTGTTCC